TGCAGAAACGCATTGTTTCTCATTGGGGGGGGGGGGGTGAGCAGCATGCCATGTGTCACTGTGTGCTACTGTGTGGCCTGCAAGGCTCCTTTGACCGGGGTTGCCTGAGTGTAGACAGCTGTCTTTGCTTCCAAGCCTTGAGATGGTTTATTTGTCTACTCAGCAAACCCTGTGACACACCCACCATGTGTTCTGAGGGAGCCGGCCTGTGCTGCCCGGGTCCCATCTAGAAAGCGGCCCCTGCTCATTTCCTTCCTCCCCAGGGGATCCCACGTCCTCCTGGGTCTTGTGGTCTGGAGGTGGCTCTGCCCAGGGCTGACCAGGGCCATGGGGAGCCCCAGGAACAGCAGGTAATGGTTCTGTGAGAAGCACAGCCTACCTGCGAGTGAAGGACTCCCGGGGGAGGCTGCAAGGATCTCCTCCCTGCTCCTGGTCACCCAGCAGTGGGTGCGGGCCTGGGCTGAGGGCAGAGGGGTGTGGGTTTGGGTGTCCCTCGGAGCTCAGCTGCTGCTTGGGCCTGCTCTGGCTATGAGCACCGTGGGGCTTCATGCCATCCTGTCCTCCCTCTGCCCAAGACCTTGGTGCATGCACAGAGCTGGCGGACAGTGGGGGAGGGGACAGGGTTCGGCTCCGGATGTGGTGCTGGGCTGGGCCTAGCTGCAGGGCACCCAGCTGCACGCGCCTCCCGTGCAGCAGGCAGGCTAAGGCCCAGGAGGTGGGATGGCTGCTGGGCCCTGGCACGTGGTGCAGGAACCCAGGTGGAGTCAGGGCCCCGGCTCCTTATCCGGGTCTCTTACTGCGGCCCTGGGAGGATTCTTGGCCAGTGGGGTCTGTCCTCCTCTGTCACAACCACAGTGCTGACAGGCTGCATGGCCTGTCTGTGTGTGCTTCCTTCCCTTCTCCAAAGGCTACACTGCGGTGGGTTCAGGTCCCGGACTTCAGGAAGGGCAGAGGCCTCGCCATGTGCAGTCCCAGAGCCCGGAGTCCTGGATCTGGCCCCTGGCTGGCCTTGGGGTTCCTATTGGTATACTGTGCTGCAGGGACAGCTGGCCGGCCTGACCTAGGGCAGGCCCCTCTCAAGTGGCCCTGGAAGGGGCTGCTCCCCTGGAAGCCCCTTCAGTCTGTCCCACTGGCTGGTCCGTTCCAGGTGATTAGCTGTACCAGGGCAGCAGGGTCAGCGCCCTGGCGGGAGGACTGTCCCAGTGAGAGTGGGACGCAGCCATACTTAGGAAGGACTTTGTCTTCTTGGTGGTAAGGCACTTGGGCTCTGGAACCAGCCACCTGGGTGTGAGGCCTGGCTCTGCAGCTTTCCCACTGTGCCCTTGGGCAAGTTTCTTATCCGTAACATGGGGAGCGTGTGGGGGGTGATAGCGCCTGCCCCCAAGGTAGTCCAGAGGATGGAATGAGTTCTTATGTCACCGGACCGCTAAGCTGTCACTTGGCTTGGCATCGGTACGTAGCAGTGACCGGCCACCCCACCAGGAGGAGCTGTCGGAGTGAGCGCTGGTGTGCGGGGCAGAGGACCTGAGCCACACAGGCCGTGGTGGGCCCCGAGGGCTTTGAGACTGGGGCGGCTGGCAAGTCCTGGTTGTGCGCTCTGTGGTGTTGGTGTCACAGGGCACAGGGCGCTTCTGGAGGGGATGAAGTGTGGAGGCCATTTCTCCAGGGGAGCATGCTTCCTCCTCGTCCTGTGGTGGAGTCTGCACCCTTTCCTGGGGTCCTGCTGGGCCCTGCAGACAGGTCTGTGTGTCTGTGCGTGTGGCCATGGGCTGGCTGCATCTCCATTCTGGCCTCTGGTGGCCGCATGAGCTGGGCCAAGGCCAGGACGCAGGAGCCAGGTCCAGGACGTTGGCTTTGGGAGGGGACATGTGGGGGCCTCAGGAGGGTTCCAAGGCCCTGCTTCTGTGTGGGTGTACCTTCCTGCAGGGATCCCACAGACACTGCCCCTGTGTTCCTGGTCAGACATGGTGCCCACTTGTGGCTCTGGGAAAGTGGTGTGGGTGGCTGTGGGTTCCCCCCTCCTTCCTCTCATCCCAGTCCCGCCACACACAGGCTGAGTGGTCCGTGCCACACTTCAG